CGGTGTGACTTCGGCCCCCAGTTGTGCCAGCTTTGCTTCTTATGTTGTGGGAGGGCGGGTGGGACTGGGCATGCCATGCTTGACTCGCTCGAGCTGGCTAGCTTGACTCCTACTCCTACTCCTACTCCTCCTCCTCCTCCTCCTCCTCCTCCTCCTCTTCCTCCCTTCCTCCTCCTTCTCCTCCTCTCCTCTCATCATCATCATCCTCCTCCTGCTCCTCTGCCTCGTCCTCCTCCTCCTCCTCTTCATCCTCCTCCTGAGCACATCATCAACAACAACGTGGTCATCATCATCATCATCATCATCATCATCATCATCATCATCATCATCATCATCATCATCATCATCATCATCATCATCAGCATCAGCATCAGCATCATCATCATCATCATCATCATCATCAGCATCATCAGCATCAGCATCATCAGCATCATCATCATCATCAGCATCATCAGCATCAGCATCATCATCATCAGCAGCATCCTAATCATCATCATCATCATCAGCAGCAGCATCATCATCAGCATCATCATCATCAGCATCAGCATCAGCATCAGCATCAGCACCACCATCATCAGCATCATCATCCTCAGCATCATCCTCAGCATCATCATCATCATCAGCATCTTCAGCATCATCACCAACATCAGCATCATCATTATCATCATCATCATCATCGTCATCATCAGCATCAGCATCAGCATCAGCATCATCCTCATCAGCATAATCCTCATCAGCATCATCATAATCAGCATCAGCATCAGCATCAGCATCAGCATCAGCATCATCATCAGCAGCATCATCATCAGCATCATCATCAGCAGCATCATGATCAGCAGCATCATCAGCAGCATCATCATCGTCGTCGTCATCGACGTCGTCATCATCATCATCATCATCATCATCAGCATCAGCATCAGCATCAGCATCAGCACCACCATCATCAGCATCATCATCCTCAGCACCATCCTCAGCATCATCAGCATCATCATCGTCGTCGTCATCGACGTCGTCGTCATCATCATCATCATCATCATCATCATCATCATCATCATCATTATCATCATCATCATTATCATCATTTAGCGAGCGTGATCCACCGCCGCTTTACTATGGAAAAGTCCCCCCCCTCATCCTCCGGAACCTGGGGGTCCACCACCCCCCTTCGAAAATATCCCCCCCTGCTGGACCCCCCCCCTTTCCCCTTCCCCCGGCAAAACACCCCGCCCTAACCCCTCCCCCCTTAACCCCTCCCCCCCCCCCTCCTTCGAAAATCGGAGGGGATCACTACCGGTTCGAACCACCACCACCCTCCAGAAAACTGAGGGATCACTACCCGTTCGAACCCCCTATCCCCCCCTCTCCCGCGCCGCCGGCAAACGATTCCCGCTCCTCGGGACTGTGGGACAGCGGAAAACCAGGAGGAGTCACTACCGGTTCGAACCCCGCCTCTCCAGAAAACCAGGGGGGGTCACTGCCGCTTCGAACCCCCCCACCCCTCCAGAAAACCGGGGGGGGTCACTACCGGTTCGAACCACCCACCCCCTCGCCGCCGGCAAACGATTCCCGCTCCTCGGGACAGTGGGACAGCGGAAAACCAGAGGTGGGTCACTACCGGTTCGAACCCCCACCCCGCCCTCCGGAAAACTGGGGGGGTCACTACTGGTTCGGACCCGCCCCCTCCAGAAAACCGGGGGGGGGGTCACTACCGGTTCGAACCCCCCTACCCCCCCCCACCGCCAGCAAACGACTCCCGAATCCCCACCACCGTCCGCACCACATCCCCCACCGCTGTCCCCAGCACCACCGCCCACACCACCACCGTCCCCACTTTTCCCACCACCGTCCCCACTGTCCACACCAGTCCCCCACCACTGTCACACTGTCCCCACTGTCCCCACCACTGTTCCCACAAAGATCCCACTCTCCCGACTTTCCCCACGGTCCCCACCACTGTCCCACTCCCCACTGTCCCCGCTGTCCCACTGTCCCCGCCGCTGTCCCACTGAGCTGTCCCACTGTACCCACCACTGTCCCCACCACTGTCCCCACTGTACGCCTGTCCCACTGTCCCACCACCGTCCTCACCGCTGCCCTCACCACTGTCCCCACCACCACCGTCCCCACCCCTGTCCCACTGTCACCAGTCCCCACCACTGTCCACACTGTCCCCACACCACTGTCCCCACCACCACCGTCCCCACCATCACCGTCCCCACCCCTGTCCCACTGTCCCCACCACTGTCCCAACGTCCCCACTGTTCCCACCATTGTCCCCGCTGTCCCCACCAGTGCCCCCACCAGTGTCTCACTGCCCCCACTGTCCCCACCATTGTCCCACCACGGTCTCACTTTCCCCATTGTCCCCACTGTCCCCACCGCTGTCCCACTGTCCCCGCTGTCCCCGCCGCTGTCCCACTGTGCTGTCCCACTGTCCCCCCACCACTGTCCCACTGTCCCCGCTGTCCCTACAACTCTCCCCACTGTACCACTGTCCCACCACCGTCCTCTCCACCGCCTTCACCACTGTCCCCACCACTACCGTCCCCACCATTGTTCCACTTTCCCCCCCACTGTCCCGTTGTCCCCTCAACACTGTCCCCACCACGTCCCCACCACTGTCCCACTGTCCCCACCACTGTCCCACGTCCCCACCACTGTCCTCACCACCACCGTCCCCACCACTGTCCCACTGTCCCGAGGAGCGAGAATCGTTTGCCAGCGGCGAGGGGGGGGGGTCGAACTAGTAACGCCCCCCCCTGTCCATGATGGACGGTGGGGGGAGGGGGGGGTTCGAAGCGGTAGTGACCCCCCCCCGTTTTCGAAGGGGATGGGGGGGGAACGGGTTGGAAACCCCCAGTGGCCCCCCCGGTTCCGCCAGCAGCGGTAGAACACGCTCTAGAACACGCTCTTTCTCATCATTAGCATCATTATCATCATCATCATCATCATCATCATCATCATCACCACCACCACCACCAACACCACCACCACCACCACCATCATCAGCATCATCATCATCATCATCATCATCATCATCATCATCATCATCATCAGCATCATCATCATCATCATCATCATCATCATGATCATCATCATCTTCATCATCATCAGCATCATCATCATCAGCATCATCATCAGCATCGTCATCATCATCAGCAGCAGCAGCATCAGCATCAGCATCAGCATCAGCATCAGCATCAGCATCAGCATCAGCAGCAACATCATCATCATCATCATCCGCATCATCAGCAACAGCATCAACATCGTCATCACCGCCACAACCATCATCATCGCCACCACCACCAATAACATCATTATCATCAGCAGCATCATCAGCATCATCATCAGATTCAGCATCAGCAGCACCATCATAATCATCAGCAACATCAGCATCAGCATCATGACCATCCTCAGCATGATCACCACTATCATCGCCAGCATCATCAGCATCAGCATTATCATTATCATCATCATTACCACCATCATCATCATCATCATCATCATCATCATCATCATCATCATCATCAGCATCGTCATCATCGTCAGCATCATCATCATCATCAGCAGCATTAGCATCAGCATCAGAATAATCAGCACCACCATCATCAGCATCATCATCACCATCATCATCATCAGCAGCACCAGCATCAGCATCAGCATCAGCATCATTATCATCAGCACCATCAGCATCAGCATCAGCATCAGCATCAGCATCATCATCATCACCACCACCATCATAATCATCATCATCACCACCACCACCATCATCAGCATCAGCAGCAGCATCATCAGCATCATCAGCAGCAGCAACATCATGAGCATCATGAGCATCATCAGAATCAGCATCATCAGCATGAGCAGCAGCACCACCACCACCATCAGCATTAGCATCAGGAGAAGCACCATCACCACCATGACCATCGTCATCATCATCATCATCAGCAGCAGCATCACCAGCATCATCTCATCATCATCATCATCATCATCAGCAGCAGCAGCATCAGCATCAGCATCATCATCAGCATTAGCATCAGCATCATCATCATCAGCACCAAGACCATCATCATCATCATCATCATCATCATCGTCATCGTCAGAATCAGCATCATCATCATCGTCATAATCAGAATCAGCATCAGCATCATCATCTGCACAATCAGCATCAAGATCATCATCAGCAGCATCGTCATCACCACCATCATCACCATCATCAGCACCACCAGCATCATCATCAGCATCATCATCATCAGCATCATCATCATCATCAGCAGCAGCATCATCATCATCAGCATCAGCATCAGCATCATCAGCAGCATCACAACTACCACCATCGTAATCACCACCACCACCGTCATCATCATCATCAGCAGCATCATCTTCATAAGCATCATCATCGTCATCATCATCATTATCAGCATCAGCATCAGTATCAACGTCACCATCATAATCATCATCATCATTATCATCAGCATCATCATCATCATCATCATCATCATCATCATCATCATCATCATTATCAACATCACCATCACCATCATCAGAATCCTCATCACCACCATCATCAGCAGCACCAGCATCGTCAGCATCATCATCAGCATCATGAGCAGCATCATCATCATCAACATCACCATTGCATCATCATCATCAGCATCATCATCATCATCATCATCACCATAATCATCATCATCACCACCACCACCATCATCACCATCATCATCACCACCATCACCATCACCACCACCACCACCACCATCATCATCATCATCATCATCAGCATCAGCATCAGCATCAGCATCAGCATCAGCATCATCATCATCATCATCATCATCATCATCATCATCATCATCATCATCATCATCATCATCCCTTCCTCCTCGTGCCCACCTCCTCCCACTCCCCTCCCTTTTCTCCTCCCCACAAATTCCTCCCTTTTCATCCCTCCCCCATGCCCGTCCATCCTCCCCTCCCCTGCTGGGCAAGCCGGCACCGGGTGGGGCCTTCTCCTCCTCCGGGGCCGTACCCTGAGCCAGAATACCCGGAGCCAGAGTACGGGTTGGACGACATGCCCATCGGCGGATGAGCCTGCCGGCGAAAGGGGATCGGGAGGAGGAGGAAAGAGGAGGAAGGGAGGGGATGGGGGGTAGGGGGAGACAAAACATCGTTTCCCCAGCAAGCTGGTCCATTTTCTGGCGAACTGGTCCACTCCCCCGTTGTAGGTTCTGAGGAGTGTGAAGATGTACAAGCTTCTCAACATCTTCAAGCACTTCTTGGCAGTATGGTTTCATGCGCTCCGTAGCAGTTTGTTTCAAGTGTTCCTTGGCAGTTTTTTCAGGCAGCCGTTGGCACTTTCTCAGGCGTTCCTTGGCAGTTTGAACAGCGTTCCTTGGCAGTTGTTTGAAAGCACTCCCGGGCAGCTTTGAAGGCTGCCCGAGCCAGCTTTTAAGGCGCACCATGGCAGCGTTTAAGGTGTTCTGTGGCAGCGTTGAAGGCGTCCCGTGGCAGCTTGTAAGGCGCTCCTTGACAACTTGTAAAGCGCTCGCTGGCATCTCTTCAAGCGGTCCTTGGCAGTTTGTAGGGCGCATTTCGGCAATTGCACTCTGGGGCAATCCCACCAGACCTCTGGGCATTGGTGGTCTAGAGGAGCTCCTCTCCCAACCCTTTTTTTAATCCCCGTCGGGCAAGAGTTTATCACTGCTCCCTGTTAATATACACCCCCTCCCCCACCCGGCCAGACCCAAGCGGACCCCCCACCATCCTTAAACAAAAACATACAAAAAGCACGTTGCCTCCAAGTTTGGAGTGCTTGGCCAACCCGATGCGCCACCCCCACCATCCCTGCCAAAATTAATATAAAGTATACGTTGGGGCACAGTCTTGAGTCATGTTCGTGAGGCCCGCGAGCATTTTGAACTGTTTTTGACAGGGACGGCGGGGGTGTCAGCATGGCCCCTGCTGCGCGCAGGGCTGCCATCCCTGACAACAAAAATGCAAACAAGCAACCAAAAACATCGCGGTCAAATCTAGATTATGCGCGGCCACCCCGCGATCCCTGTCAAGTGGTTTGTGACACGGACGGCGCAGGCGGGGGCGCGAGACCTGATGTGCGCAGGCCCACCACCAGACACAATGATGGGCATTGGTTTTCGCCAAGGATGGTGGAGGCCAACATGTTTCCCGGCGTGTGCTGTCACGTACGCAGGCGCACCTGACGCATTCCGCACGTGCCCCGAACGTGGCGCGGCTGGAGTGTGCGGCACACATGGCGCACGCGGAGCACGTGGCGGATCTGGCGCACCAGGTGTGCCTGGCACGCTCGGGCCCCAGGGGTGCCTGGCGCGCGTGGCGCCCCTGGTACGCGTGGCTCACCTCGCCCAAGCGACGCGCACCTGGGGTCGGCGTTGGTTCCATGTAGCTGCCCATCCAAAGACGACCGCTGAACATGCTCAGGTTCGGGTGTTACATATGTGTTGGGAGGGCGGGCGGGAGTGAGCTAGAAGGCTTGCGGGCGGGCGGGGAGTTCGACCCCTCCCCCTACCCCCCAAGGACCTGGACGGGGCGCCTCGCGAGATGTCGGAGCATCGAAGATGGCCCAAGAAGGCCCCAAGAGGGCCTCAGAGAGCCCAAGATGACCTCCAGGATGGCACAAGATAGCCCAAATTTGTCAAGATGGTCCCCAACATGCTCCAATGAGGCCCCAAGACCGTTCCAAGACGGTTCCAAGTGGCCAGGGACCGTCTAACGGAGGCCACCAAAAGGCCAACGCCTTTAGAAACCTGAGGAACGTCAGCGAATGTAACCTCGTCGTCTTTTTGCTGCCGATTGCCTCCCGAGGCCTCAAGACAGCTCCAAGACAGCTCCAGAGGGCCCCAAGAAAGGCCTGATATAGCCCCAAGACGGCCGCCAGAGTGCCCAAGAGCGCCCCAAGATTGCTTCAGGAGGGGTCAACGAGGGGATTCTAGGCACTCTCGAGGGGCAAGGCTGCTTGGAGCTCATCCCTTCTTCAATCATATCCTCCAAGATGGCCCCAGGAGCGCCCCCAAGCCTCCAAAGAGCGCCCCAGGAGGCCCCAGGGGGCCCCAGTAGGCCCAAGGAAGCCGCAGCGAATCAATCAGATTCAGACTTCTCTCTCTCACACACACACACACACCTACACTCGAGTACTAAGACCACTCACACCCATGTACACTCACCCCAAGCTTCGTCATAACTATTCAAACTCATACACATCGAATCATTCACACTCAGACTCGCTCACACACCGACTCACCGACATTCAGACCCACCCGCCCTCAGTCTCTCCGACTCAAATCCACTCACGCCAAGACTCTCTCGCACCCAAACACTCGCAGTGGGGAAGGCCCCGGCAAATAGCCACTCGCGCGGGGATCTCCGCGCCGAGTAGTCCTTGTCAAATCGGCGACGGGGGAACCCTTGAAATGAACGACATTCGCTCCAAGAGGGCGCCCTCGTCACCCGCCCGGCCCAGCGGACAGGGGCGGCGGCGACTCGCCGCAGGCGCCTTCGACGGTGACGGCGACGGCGGCGGCGGCGACGATGACGACGAGCGTTTTTCCCCCGCAGGCGCGATTCATCTGACGAAATCATCGCCTCGCAACATCGCAAATTGCATTTGTCATGGCCAGTTAGCAATTCCACTCTTTGTTGTGGAATCGATCTAAACGTCGCCCCAGCCGGTCAGCAACCACCGCGCGAAATTGACCCTGGCGGGAGCCACGCTGTTCGCCAGCGCGGACGCATTACCCGCCACCACGGCGACGTCATCCGCCGCGTCTTCTGTCAAGTCACAAAGGACGTTGGTAACTCGTGCAATTAACGATATCGACCGTAGATTCAGTCAGGATACTGGAAATCAATGACCCGCGACTGCACTTGACGCGCACGCCAGTGCCACGCACCCAGAGCAATGCTGAAACCGCCTTCTCTCAGAGATGCGGCGCTTGCCGGCCCAGCTCGACGAGCCCGCTGGCCCCGCTTACCGGGCGCGATCTGGCGCGCAAAATGTCGGGCGGCCCCCGCGCCCCTGCCCATGCCTTCTCGGATATCCAACTAAATTTCAAGCTGGGAACGAAATCGCAATTGAGTAGCCCTGGACACGTCGGCCCCTACGACAACGCACCAGCTGCAAAATCCTGAACTGCGCGAAACAAATTCGGCCCCACGCCATCCCAACACGCGCGCGGATTGCAAGCAGCAGAAGCCGCCGCGACCCAAATGATGCGGGGGGGGTTCTATCGCATGACCAAATTGGTTGGCATTGTTCGGCATCGCGCGGCATCGCATCGAATTGCTCGGCGTTTATTTGCCGTGTTTGGCCCTGCGCGGCGTTGCTTGGTACTGCTCGGCATTGCTCGGCGCGGCGAGCCAACGCTCGGCGACGCCCGACGCTGCGCGACGCGTCTCAGCGCCGCGCGGCATTGCGAGGCGAAGCGGCGCAGAACCAAAATCCAGGAACTGAGAACCCAAATCAAAACCAACGAACCACAGAATCACTACCAAGGAACCAGCGCCAGGCAACCAGGGAAACGAATGCCAGGAAGTCGAAACCAAGGGACCAAGGAACGAAAACGAAGACCAACAAACCAAGGAACCGTGACCAAGAAACATTAGTCTCGAAATTGCACGGGCCATTGAACCTGAAACTCGGTTTCTGCTCGACAAGCCCTCGATCATCCATTCTGCCCCTCCACCCCTCAATCAGCCCTCTGCATGTTCCTCTTCGTCTTCCTCCTCCTCCTGCATTCCTTCTGCTCATAGATGATTTCTCCCTGTCGCACCCCGATGCAATGTTTTGGGCGGGCCGGGCGTTTCGTCTGAGACTTCCCCACCACTGACGACCCTGAAGCTTACAAAAAGACAACAGCTTCACAGATCGAGGGCGGGTGGTTTTCATAATGCGGCTCTCGCCCTAGCGCGGCGCACATTCGTTTCAGAAAATTTGCAAGAGCTTCACGGATTGAGGGCGGGTGGTTTTCAACATGTGGCTCTCGCATTAGCGCCGCGCGCATTCTGTTTAAAAAACTGCAAGAGCTTCACGGATTGAGGGCGGTCGCTTTCAAAATGCGGCTCTCGCCCTAGCGCGGCGCACATTCTTTTCAGAAAATTGCAAGAGTTTCGCGGATTGAGGGCGGGTGGTTTTTTAAATGTGGTTCCCGCCTTAGCGCCGCGCGCATTCGCTTTCAAACTTTGCAATGGCTTCACGGACTTAGGGCAGGACGTTTTCAAAATGCGGCTCTCGCCTTAGCGCCGCGCGCGCTCGTTTAAAACATGCAAGGATTTCGCGGATTGGGGGCGGTTCCTTTTCAAAATGTAGCCCTCGCCTTAGCGCCGCGCACGTTCGTTCTAAAGTTTGCAATGGCTTCACGGATTCCCATGATCAACGTACCAGAAATGGTGCTTTCTTGGGGGGGAAGATTCAGGATTGCGCGGGCGCAACAGATATGTTGATTTGCGGTGTTGAAATCCCAAAATGGCGTTATGGCACGATTCCGGATCGTCAAAACGCAGCAGCCAGGTTGATGCGCGCGTATCCCGAGAACAATGTTTAGGCATCCTTCAAGATCTTCAGACGGTTGTCTTCCAACGAAGCAGTTCCCTCAATGGAAATGAACCGTTGCGGGGGCCTCTGAAGAGGCAGCTTGGAGGGAGGATTAATGGATGGTTAATTCCAACATCGTTGATGACTCTTGGATTTACACTGGTCCTCCCCCCCCCATCGCACCCCCCCCCTTCCCCGCCCCCCCCCCCGCATCCCAATCCGTTGCCGCCCCCCCCAGAGGGGCGGTAGCCGCGCGCCATTTGCCCCTTTTCGCGAACTCCTGGGAAACCCAGCGGAGCGGGGGCACGCGCGCATCCGGCCCCTTCGGCCCCTTTGGAAGGGCCGCCACGTGCGCGACAGTCGCAGCGTTCGCGGGCGAGCGAGCACGCAGCAGCGCACGCAGTCGAGAACACGCATGTCATATCACTTCGGTCGCTTCTTGCGCCCAATGACTCCCTTGGAGGCCCTGCGCAAGCCCCGAAGCCGTATAGAGGGTAAGTGCGGAAACGCAGAAATCATCAATTTC